GGGGGAGGGGGGATGGCAGCGGGATGGAGGAGGGAGGGGGCGATGGCCGGCGGGGTGGAGGAGGGAGGGCGACGGCTGGCGGCGGGATGGAGGAGGGAGGGGGCGACAGCCGGCGGCGGGATGGAGGAGGGAGGGGTGAAAATGCGGCTACGGCAGACGACAGGGCCGGCGCGAGGGAGAGTGAGTTGGAGCAGGGAGAGGAGAGTGAGGGGCGGCCTAGTGATAGGATGGCTTTAGCAGTAGCGCGTATCTAGGTAACGCGCTACTGCTAAACGCCTTATCAGTAGTGCCTTACTATAAAAAGCGCTACTGCTAAGTGTAAGCATGCAAAAATACATTGTCCGTCAATGCAAAAATACATTGGCCATCAATGATCTTTTTGTGTACAATCTGAATTGTCAATATGAGTCTTCTCCCGGTAGGAACCGGAGAAGACTCATATTGCGGCCACAAATTCTACACATAGAGTTCAATGAAGACAAAGAGGTTGTGGTAGCTTGAGAAGTAGCATATTTAAGGTGGTAAACACCCTGTTCGCGGAGCGAGGTGGGACTAAACTTGTGGACTGAACTTAGCAGTAGCGAGTTTTATCAAATGGTGTTGCTCCTAACATCAATAGCAATAGCGCGCTATGTAATATGGGGCTACTGCTATAACTAGCTTGACGACGAGGTCATGGCAATTATAGCAGTAGCGTGGTTTACGAATGACGTGCTACTGCTATGTTCCTTTCAGCAGCGCGTTTTAGTGGCACACGCTGCTGCTAAATAGCAGTAGCGCCATATTTTAAAGCGTGCTGCTGGTAAGATTCTGTGTATAAGGTTTTTCCTAGTAGTGTGCACTAACTGATAGCTCCACCATTCAATAAAAATACGTATCCAGATTGTCTCATCCAGATCAGTGTCAAATCTAGTGTCGATGTAACCATTTACGACAAGCTCTTTGTCACCTCATAAACGAGAAACATATCCCTAGTCCTTTTCAAGTACTTCAGGATGTTCTTGACCGCTATCTAGTGATCCACTCCTGAATTACTTTGGTACCTCCCTGCTAAACTTATAGCAAGGCACACATCAGGTCTGGTACACAACATATCATACATGATAAAACCTATGGTTGAAGCATAAGAGATCATTATATTGAGAATCAAAAGAGAGAGAGGAAGCCATCTAGCTACTAACTACGGACCTGTAGGTCTACAATGAACTACTCGTGCATCACCGGAGAGGCACCAATGAGGATGATGAAGCCCTCCGTGATGGTGTCTAGATTGGATCTGGTGGTTCTGTAACTTGCGGCGGCTGGAATTGATTTTCATCGACTCCCCTAGGGTTTCTGGAATATTAGGGTGTTTATAGAGCAAAGAGGTAGTGCAGGAGGCGTCGGAGGTGGGCACAACCCACCTGGGCGTGCCTGAGCCCCCAGGCGCGCCCTGGTGGGTTGTGCTCCCCTCGGAGCTCCCCTTAGGTGCTTTCTTGGCCCAACAGGTGTCTTCTGGTCCAGAAAAAATCAACAAAAAGTTTCGTTGCGTTTGGACTCCGTTTGATATTGATTTCATGCGATGTAAAAAGCAAGCAGATAACATCAACTGGCACTTGGCACTATGTCAATAGGTTAGTCCTAAAAAATGATATAATGTTGCTATAAAATGATTGTAAAACATCCAAGAATGATAATATAACAGCATGAAACAATAAAAAATTATAAATACGTTGGGGATGTATCACGCGACCTGATGTCTTCTGGTCACCAGGTGGCCCCCCTTCGGTAGTTATTTGCTCCAGTATTTTTCACATATTCCAAATATTTCTCTATAATTTTTCAGCTTATTTGGACATGTGCATAATACGTGTTTAGACGTAGCTTTTTCAGGTCCGGAATTCCAGTTGCTGGTATTCTTCCTCTTTATGTAAACTTTGCATATTATCAGAGAAAAGACATTAGAATTACTCCTCAAAGCATTATTATGCATAAAAACATTATAAATAATAGTAGGAAACCATGATGCAAAATGGACGTATCAAGGTGGTGACGACTCCGTATCGTTAAATGCGATGAAACTTTCTCTTTGATTTTTTCTCTCCATGAAACGGTACTTATGGAGTTAGAATTAGGGCAAACGAAGGCCTGTGGGGCCCACAAGCTCACAGGGCGCGCCTTGGGGGATAGGCGCCCCCTGAGCTCATGGCTCCTGGCTAGCGCCCCTCTAGTAGATCTCTTCGCCAATAATTTTTTATATATTCTGGAAATAAAATTCGTATATTTTTAGCTCAATCTGAGAACTTTATTTCTGCACAAAAATACACCATGGCGTCAGTCCGGATTAGTTTCATTCAAATCATGCAAATTAGAGTCCAAACAAGAGCTAGCAAAGTGTTTGGAAAAGTAGATACGTTTGGGACGTATCAAGTGGTTGTCGGCGGTGGCTACAGAGTGGTGGCGCCCATTGGTTGCGGGCAACACCAACAAGGTGGTGGAGGATGTGGGGAGGGAGATGGAGGCAATGGCGTGTTCTGGATCTGGGTCTTCCTGATCCGGGTCCCCAGGGCGCAGTCGTGGCGTGGTTAGTCGCCTGGTGATGTGGCTTGCCACCGGGTGAGGTTGGTTGTTGTGGCATGGAGTGGCTGGCTGGCTGGTGCTCGCAGTGCTGGCGGCCTTGATGATGATGGTTGGAGCAAGAGTTGTTGGTTCTCGGTCTTGGATGGAGGTTGATGATGGATATGTGTCCTCAGTGCGGGGAGTCCGTGTTTTGCAACTCTTGGGGAACGATGACGAGGTGTTGTGACGGCGGCGGTGTTACCCATCATGGTCTGCTTGGCCTTATTTCGACGCGATGGACGGAAGGTGCGCGACAGGTTGGATGAAAATCATGCACAACTTTGGTAGGTGCTTGAGATGACGGCGCCCATGGGTGTCGTTCTCCTCCTTGGAGGCGTTGTGATGGTGTGTCGGCATCTCCCTCCTTGCTAGGATTATCTCCGGGTGAAAGCCTTGGTTAGTTGATGGATCAGCGATGGCGGCGTATTGGCGGCGTTACTCTGTTGGCAGCATCGCGTATGGAGACATGGTTTCAAGGCTTGGTGTTGTGGTTATCCGGTGCTGGCCGTTGGTCTGGGCAAATCTTCTTGGGCGCTATGTATGCAGCAGCCGGGGTATCATAAATGACGCCTTTTTATGGTCCTTCTGGGTCCCACTACCCATTCACCATCTTCTCTTTGGCAATCATGGATGGTTGGTGAATCGACAAGTAATGCTCATTTGTAGTTGTTGTTCTTTGTTGCATTTGGTGCTGGTCGAGACGCGGATAGGCTCCTTTGCGTTGTGTCTGTAAGTGTTGCTGTAAATGTCGGTGTGGAGTTAACTATACTTGTTGTTCGCGACAAGTCATAGTCTCTTTGCACTTGATCTTTCGCCTTTCATAAAAAGGACCCCGATAAATCCCAGACGTTTGGATTTTTAGCATGTCATTCCGAATGTTTTTCATAACAACTTTAGTTATTATGAGGTGACGATTTTAGTTGTTACAGCATGACTTCATTTTTTTCAGAAAATTGTCATGTTTGTCAACCTCGTATAAACTAAAGTTGTCATGAAAAACATTCGGATTGTCATGCTTACGATCCAAACGCTCGGGATTAATCATTTCTGTAAAAATATTGAATGCCCAGGCGTACTCTCAGAAAAAATGTACTCCTTCAGCAGCGGTTAATTATTCTGCTCCGCCTTTGCTGTCCCAGTCCAACTCACATTCCCCTCCGGCGGCTGTCGTCGGAGTTGGGCAGGGCCGGCAGCAGCCAGCAGGCATGGAGGCTGCGGTGGCAAGCGCCCTGACCAAGGAGGTGGTGCTGAAGCTGGTCACGCTGCTGAGCGAGAGGCACAAGCTGTCCAAGGGCCTCAAGGACGACCTCCGCTTCATCCACACCGAGCTCCACATGATCCTGTGCGACATGGACGAGCACCTTGGAGATCCGAGCCACAGCTCACGGCGGCCGCAGGTGGTGTCCATGGAGGAGATGCGCGATCTGGCGCACGACATCGAGGATTGCATCGACCGGTTCCTCCCCTGCGCCGCCTGCGAGGGGGAAGCAGCAGCAGCCTCCGTCCTCCGCCGCATCAAGAAGGCGGTCACCGGCAACAGATCCCGGTTCGCGGCGGAGATCCGGAAGCTCAGGCAGAGGGTCAAGGACGCCCACGAGCGAAGGGTCAACTATGGCGTCAACGGCGTGAGATCTGCCGCCGGAGCCGGAGCAGCAGCTCCCCCTGCGGCCACAGACGCGGCCGAGGCCGATCCTGTGGGCATCGACAAGCCCAGGCAGGAGCTGGTGGAGCTGCTGCTGGGCAGCGAGCCGGGGCCTCCCAGCGTGATATCCATCGTGGGGTTCGGCGGCTCGGGCAAGACGACGCTCGCCAGGGCGGTGTACTGCTGCCCCGGTGTCGTCCAGAGATTCCCTGCCCGTGCCTGGGCCGCGGGGTCCGAGCACACGGACGCCGGCGGGCTCCTGACGGCCATACTCCGGCAGCTCCACCACACCGCCCATGTGCCACAGGACCAAGATTCCATCAATAATTTCCTGGGGACTACAGAGTGAGGATTTTCTGCACTGACCTCCTTCCTACCTCAGAAGAATCTTCTTTTTGGGAACAAGAATCATTTTTGCACATACTTTGGCCGCTTAATTGTTACTGAAAACCTTACCAGTGTTGTTTTGGCTTTGGAAGAAAGAGTTGCCTGCGCGTAATTTAATCTTGCCATATTGTGATATGAACATATTACAAAGTTTGTGGGTGCCTGATTGAAGTTCCATCGTCGAGAAAAGGAGAGATGAATCAGTGAAATGCTATGAAAAACTGAAAATAGGAGCAAAGTCTGATTTGTCACCTGCTGCTCTGCTTTTACAGTGTCTGTATTGAAAGATTAGTCAGCAATTCAGACTGATTTCCCACGTTAACTTTATGGTGCGATATATTTACCTGTCATATAAGTTCAACTTTACTAATTGGTTACAATCCAAGAGTCGGCCATCTTCAAAAATGGTGTAAACAACATATATGGTCTGGTTTACGGTTGCCCCCTACAGATAGAAGTATAGCTCTGTACTTGGGGAACAGCGTCGCAATCCTCTATTTAAAAAAAAATAAGAATAAAAATAAAAAAATTAGCCCTTTTAAGTTCAAGTATTAATTTACATTCCTTCCGGCCATGTACCTATAAACAGTTGATGATTCTATGTACATTTGAGCGTTTGTGCATGTTTATATCTGCATATAGCAAATCAGTGAATTGGCAACCAATTTCTTCTAGCCGGCGGATATAATCATATAATACCTTGTTAATTTATCAGTTTGTCTGCCTGCCAGGTGCTTAATTGTAATTGATGACATCAACAAGCAACACTGGGATGCCGTAAGAGCTACCTTACATGGGGAAACAAAAAGCAGAATCATTGTAACCACGGCTCTGCACTCAGTAGCTAATGCTTGCAGCTCAGGGATTGGTTATGTTTACAAGATGAGAGTTCTTGATGCAGAACTCTCCAGGGTTTTGCTTAGGAAGAAGGTATTCTTTGGAGGATGTTCACCTGAACTGGAGCGAGGTTCGACAGCAATTGTGGACAAGTGCGACGGCCTCCCACTTGCTCTTGTTAGCGTGGCCAGATTTCTGCTAGGCAAGAATGAGCTCACAGGAAGACACTGTGCGGAGGTTTGCCGCAACCTCGGGCTTCATATGGAGAAGGATGCAGACTTCACAAAACTGCAACAGGTTCTTGTAAATAACTACAGAAGCCTGTCTGACTATCCTCTCAAGACCTCCCTGCTATACACAAGTGTATTTCCAAACGGTCATCCAATCAGGAAGAATACATTAATCAGGCGATGGTTAGCAGAAGGGTATGTGCAGTGTAGGTACAAGCGCAGTGACCTGGAGGTAGCAGACGTAAACTTCCAGAAGCTTATCGACCGGAATATCATTCGGCCGATCAATGGTAGCAACAACACAAAAGTGAAGACGTGCAAAACTCATGGTATTATGCACGAGTTCATGCTGCACAAGTCTATGTCTGATAACTTCATCGCGTCTCTTCATGATCAAAATCGAAGCAAATTCCGTCACCTCTTCATCCAGAACCCTGCAAGTGGCAGCACATTGGGCTTGAACCACCAGCATACAAGTCCAGCAAGCGACAACGTATCTGATAGCAGTGAAAAATTCCGTGCCCGGTCTCTGACAATCTTCGGGAATATGGGAGAAGCTGCTGCTGAGTTTTGCAGGTGTGAGCTGCTGCGTGTGTTGGATCTGGAAGAATGTGACGATTTGGAGGACGGGCATCTCAAGGACATACATAAGTTGTGGCATCTGAAATATCTGAGCCTTGGGGGTACTATCAGCAACCTTCCAAGGAATATTCAGAAGTTACACTGTTTGGAGACACTGGACCTTAGGAAGACAAAGATAGAGATATTGCCTGTGGAAGTCATTGGGTTGCCTCACCTAGCTCACCTTTTTGGAAAGTTTAAGCTTGGGAAGGACTTGAAACTGGGTGAACTAGAGAAGTTCTTACCCAAGAAAAGCAAGTTGCAGACCCTAGCAGGATTTGTTGCAGACGAGAATCCTGGATTTCTACAACTCATGTCTCATATGAAAGAATTGAAAAAGGTTAAGATATGGTGTTGTGGGTCCACTGATGCAAACAATGAGAGCATGCCTCACATTTCGGAGGCAGTTCAGAAGTTTGCTCAGGATGGTATGGACACGGCAGACGTCCGTTCTCTGTCACTTGATTTTGGAAACTCCTTGGGGGACTTCTTCGGTTCTATACAAGAATATTGCTTCCTCAGCTCGCTGAAACTGCGTGGCAGGCTGACTCGACTGCCTCAGTTTGTTACATCCCTGTGTGGCCTTACAGAGCTATGCCTTTCATCAACTAATCTGATGGGGAATGATCTATCAAACCTGTGTATGATGCCCTGCTTGCTTTATCTCAGACTGGTTGAAGCTGACCTTAGTGGCTTCATCATAAAAGATAGGGGTTTCCCAAGCCTGTTAAGCTTATGCCTTATTGTGCAAATACCCGTCCTGCCTGCAATTGGAGTAGGAGCTTTGCCGTGTGTCGTCTCACTTCAGCTGCTCTGTAAAGATCTTGTTGATCTTTCAGGCATCAAGATCGAACAGCATCACTGTCTGCAGGAAGTTGCTCTGGATTCTATGATCAGTACCAAAACAGTAGAAATGTGGGAAACTGCAGTGAAGAAGCATCCCAAGAGACCAAAAGTTCTGTTTCTCAAAAGGATTGATCCAAGCGAAACCAAGTCCACTGTGAAATATGTGGCGACAGACGGACCAATACGTGAGAAGGCATCCTCCATTGAGTTCAATCAAGTTCAGTTAACGCAGAATATGTTGCAGAACGAATGCATAATCAGTTTAGATCAATCCAGTTCAATGAGCAAACTCAATTCAGCTATGAAGAAAATAATAGTTTCAGAACCCCCTCCGGCTGCACCCGAGCTGTCCAGTGCTGGGAACAGTGTGATGCCTCCTTCTGCAAGGTGAGGAACCTGTCAGTTATGTTGACCCTTTGCATGTTCATGTGCTCTTTTGTGTTCAGTCAGATTCCATCTTAGCACATATAAGAGATAGGATATACATTCAATATTTTCAGTTACTTAGCAACATCTGTGAAACTAGCTAGCTGTAAGTACCTCATAATTACATGATTATGCCATAACAGTACACCAAAATTATGTATATCTTTTTGTTAAGACAAGTTGTGGGTAGCTCACATCTGTGTACGATGGTAATGGCTCCAATATATTTTTTTCAATTACCTGACCTGTTATAATCAGGTTTTACCAAATAAACGCTGGAGATTGTTTTCTCTTTTGATTTCGTGGACCTTTTCCTTTTCAAGCATTGCCATTGGGATTAAACTGAAATGCTTCAAATCAACCTCATGGCTAGTTTACATATACTAGAGAGATTCCATCTTCATGCTATACTAGAATCAAGCCCCCATCGTACATGCTGTGATGCTTGCTCGGGCAGTTAACAAATGCACATTTCTTCTTAATGTTGTTTCTCCTTCTTTTTCTATTTAAGCTCCTTTTTTTGTGGGGATTGATTCTAGTAGTGACAGAGAAACAATTCAGGAAACATGTTTAGGAACTACGCTTGGTATTTGGCTAGTTATCAGTTACTATTTTTTTTAAATAACTAAGGAACATATGTCCCATGTGATTCTTCTGGCAGATTATATGAGAGTCTCTGTATCCGTTTTGAAATTCAAATATAGGCATCTGTTTTGATAAGATGAATCTGTACTACAAATAACTATAACCCACCGAAATAAACGGTGTACACGTTTCCAGTCCTTGTGAGTAATATGGAAATTCTAGCAGCTACGGACTTGGCGGTCATGCACGGTAGGATGAAAAGTGTTATGGGACCTGTGCTCATCTAATTTGAGATTGGTGAAATCAGCAATTTCGTTGCAACTTCTTCGGTAGTGTCGCGATCTATCTTACTACAAAAACCTAAGACACCAAACGACCTTAGTATCGCGCCGATATTTTTGCACACTGCTGCCTGCTGGTACTTATACATAATTTTGATGACATTCTATTTATCCTTTTTTTAATTGTGCAGCATATGCTAAAGCACCATTGCTGGAGTTTAGGAACTTGGCCATGGGTTCCAACCTCATCCAGTGTACAGAAACTCATTTTTTTCTATGTATGCGTGAACGGAGACGCGAAGGTTTTGCGTTCTCTCTGTTGTTGGAGTTGGCCATTTATTTAGCAGGAGGCGGCAAGACAAGTCACCCTTTCCATTTCGACTTTCGAACAGGGCTGTCTTAGGGAATAAAGTGAGCAGTTTTTTTTAGCTGAAAGTGAGCAGGGGCTTGTGTCGTCGGAATTGTTAGTTGTAACATATCTTGGTGTATCATGTCATGTTGTAGCATATTTGGAGTACTCAGTGTGTGTACAGATATGTACTTATCTGTAATGTTACATGAACTGGATTTTATCACGAGATAGATGGTTGCCATGCCTTGGTTGGGTTACCAAATGAAATTCTGAAGATAGCAACCAAACAACCTCTATAGTTATGTACTCCCTCCGTTCCTAAATAGATGACTCAACGTTCCTAAATAGATGACTCAACTTTATACTAATTTTAGTACAAAGTTAGTATAAAATTGGATCATCTATTTTGGAACGGAGGGAGTAGCTGTGTGTGTGTGTGTGTGTGTGTGTTTCTTTATGTGTACTTACCCTTAAGTATCATGTTCTATATCCATAAAGCATGCAAAATAATTTATTGATGGTTTCTGGTATATTACAATCATTCTAGACATTCACACGGTTATCCTCTAATACTTTTGAATCCTTTTTCCTGATTTTGTGTCCCAATGGAAAAGTACTATATGGCTTATATAGTGGTAATCTCATCCGTTTGATTATGATAATAGACGGGCCACAGCAATTTGATGCAACGTAAAAGTATGTTGGAACTTTGATCTTGAGTGGTACATAACGGAGAGAAAAGGCATTTTTACCCTGTTGGAACTTTGAACTTTGATCTTGAGCAACGTAAAAGCATTTTTACCCTGCTCATCTTCCCTGACAAAACTCCACATGGGCTATCCTCTATTGGTCTCCGCCAATTACGGTTAGTCGCTAATATTGGTGGTATTCTGTTGGAAATATGCACTAGAGGCAATAATAAAATGGTTATTATTGTATTTCCTTGTTCATGGTAATTGTCTATTATTCATGCTATAATTGTATTGACCGAAAACTGCAATACATGTGTGAATACATAGACCACAACATGTCCCTAGTGAGCCTCTAGTTGACTAGCTCGTTGATCAACAGATGGTCATGGTTTCCTGACCATGGACATTGGATGTCATTGATAACGGGATCACATCATTGGGAGAATGATGTGATGGACAAGACCCAATCCTAAGCATAGCACAAGATCGTGTAGTTCGTTTGCTAAAACTTTTCTAATGTCAAGTATCATTTCCTTAGACCATGACATTGTGTAACTCCCTGATACCGTAGGAGTGCTTTGGGTGTACCAAACGTCACAACGTAACTGGGTGACTATAAAGGTGCACTACAGGTATCTCTGAAAGTGTTTGTTGGGTTGGCACGAATTGAGACTGGGATTTATCACTCCGTATGACGGAGAGGTATCTCTGGGCCCACTCGGTAATGCATCATCATAATGAGCTCAATGTGACTAAGTAGTTAGTCACGGGATCATGCATTACGGAACAAGTAAAGTGACTTGCCGGTAACGAGATTGAACGAGGTATTGGGATATCGACGATCGAATCTCGGGCAAGTAACATACCGATTGACAAATGGAATTGCATACGGGATTGCTTGAATCCCCGGCATCGTGGTTCATCCGATGAGATCATCGTGGAACATGTGGGATGGGAGCCAACATGGGTATCCTGATCCCGCTGTTGGTTATTGGCCGGAGAGATGTCTCGGTCATGTCTGCATGATTCCCGAACCCGTAGGGTCTACACACTTAAGATTCGGTGACACTAGAGTTGTTATGGGAAATAGTATGTGGTTACCGAAGGTAGTCCGGAGTCCCAGATGTGAGTTCCGGAATGGTCCGGCGGTGAAGATCGATATATTGGACGAAGGGTATTGGAGTCCGGAAGTGTTCCGGGGGTACCAGGCTATGGCCAGCATGACCGAAAGGTGTTTCGGGAGCCCCGGCAAGTGTTGGAGGGCCTCATGGGCCAAAGGGAAAGGGGCAAACCAGCCCACTAAGGGGTGGTGCACCCCCCACACCCTTTCCCACGTTATTTGGGGAGGTGGGGTGCCTCCACCTGGCTTGGGAGGCAATCCTCCACCTGCTTGGCTTGGGGGGCAAGTCTCCCTAGGATTTTCCCTAGGGAGATCCAATCTGCTTGGCCGCCGCCCCTAGGGGAAACCCTAGGGCGCCTCCCCCTCTCCCCTTTCCCCTATATATAGTGGAGGGGTGGGAGGGCAGCCGCACCTCGTCCCTGGCACAGCCCTCTCCCTCCTCCAACACCTCCTCCTCCTCCGTAGTGCTTGGCGAAGCCCTGCTGGAGAACCACGAGCTCCACCACCACCACGCCGTCGTGCTGTCGGAGTTCTCCCTCAACTTCTCCTCTCCCCTTGCTGGATCAAGAAGGAGGAGACGTCCCCGGGCTGTACGTGTGTTGAACGCGGAGGCGCCATCCGTTCGGCGCTTAGATCGGAATTGACCGCGATCTGAATTGCTGCGAGTACGACTCCACCAACCACGTTCTTGTAACGCTTCCGCATCGCGATCTTCAAGGGTATGAAGATGCACTCTCCTCTCTCTCATTGCTAGTCTCTCCATAGATTGATCTTGGTGATGCATAGAAAATTTTGAATTTCTGCTACGTTCCCCAACATATTCGGCCGATCAACATTTTACAGTATACTATGTTGGTTTAACCACACAGAAAAACAAATACTCAAATGGCAACAAATGGTTCTCTAAGATACATAAATAGTAAATAATTAATATTTAGCCGCGCAAATGCACGGGTGAACCCGCTAGTTTAATTTTTATTAAATAAACATTTTCACTTAACTGAGAAGATTCATTTAGTTTTTATTGAATAAAAATAACAGTAGTTTCTCCGGTACTGTATTTCATGTGGAAAAGTAACAACAGTTATACTGATTCTACTCCAAAAGTGCATGCACTGCACTACACTACTCCACTTCCACCACACAATCTTTAAGTACTGCAAGTATACTTCTGTTTAATCAGACCTTATGTCCTCTACAGAATATAAGACGATTTAGAAAATAATAATTATAAGGCAGCTGAGTTAAATACATGTAATTTGTACTGAACTTTTATATATTTTTATATCTTTTTCACTATAGTCTTACTAATTATATATTTTCTATTATTTAATTGAATAGGTAACATCATAAAATGTTGCTAAAAATCATATATATTGATGTGCATCATTGAATAGTTAATTATGTTGTGCTAAATATAAATGTATGTGTAAGAAAATCATGTTAGTTTTTCTTTCTTTTGTATACATTTACTCTTTTTAGATTTTAAAGTGACCGTAAACGAATAAAAGGAAATAATTGATTTAACTTCATATTTAGTTGCATGGATTATATAGTGTATTGTTATGTAGCTGTGTGTGTTCCTTTATGCCTAGTTACCCATAAATATCTTGTTATATATCTTAATGGTATATCACAATCATTCTAGACATTAGGAAGTTCATCCTAAATACTGTTGTATCCTCTCTTTTTATCCTGATTTTGTGTCCCAATGGGAAAGTATACCGGAACTGGAGTATATTGTTTATGCAATTGTAATCCGTTTGAGCATGATAATAGACGGGCCATAGTTATTCGATGCAATGTAAACGTTGTTTGGAACTTTGGTCTCGGGTGGTTAATAACCGAGAGAAAAGGGAGAGCATTTTTACCCTGCTCATCTTCCCCGACAAAACTCCACATGGGCCATCCTCTATTGGTCTCCACCAATTACGGTTAGTCACTAATATTCCTCTTAAGAGGTGTTCTAATTAAGAGATTGAAGATCCTATTATGTTATTTCAAAAGAATTTCGCTAAGCAAAAGGTTTTGTTTGTCCTACAGATCTTAGTTTACATCACCACAAAGGTGATACTTAAATCACACATGTAAAGCTTCAACAAAAGGCAAATTGCAATTAATTTGGTAGATTGATTTGTCCTACAGATCTTAGTTTACCAGAACTGTTCTCAGAAGAAGATGAAGAATTTGTTGGGACTTGGGATCGTGCCGAACCGATCGCAACTTCGCAAGGTACTTGATATGGCGTTTTGATCTTGTAGATATGAGGTCACATTTTCGGAAACAGATCAAAATATTTTTTGGAAAAAAAGTAAAACAAAATCATCAAAAGTAAAATATTGTAGTGGCTACCAGTCTACCACTAGTCGCCAACGAAACGAAAATAGAAACGCGATCTCATCACAATCGTACCTGGTACTATCCATACCATTTTTATAGTGTTGCCATTCAACCCGGCAATTTGACCCATGGGTATGGCCGCCCATGGGCACCCGACCCGAATGGGTAGGGTATGGGTCTTCATCTTCGCCCATGGGTAATGCAACCCGATTAGTCATGGGTAGGGTATGGGTCTTCATATATGCCCATGGGTAACCCGATGGGCTGCCCGATTAATATTCATAATCATAAATTCTAATAGATATAATCAAGATATGGTGCATATTCTAGCTATATAGAACCGCAAACACATGCATCAGACAATTAGGAGTACTTTATTTTAGCGGTAGACAAGTAGTAGTACTTGAACGTAGTAGTTTTTCTCTCGGCAGTCCAACAATGCAGCTATTGGGCTAGGAAAACACAAGAGAAGCGCCTGGTCCATCGTCACATAATCGGCAGGTCACTGGCTGTCGCTAGCCTGCTAGTGCTACAATGCTAGTAGCAGCGAAGGTAACGTCCTGGGTATTAGTACCACCTCGAAAGTGGAAGCGCGGTGAGAAAGGATGGACGCCTATATAAGAACCACTTCAGTGCAGAGCTTGCTCATGCGTTTTAGTCGTGACTTTTAAAACAAATATATTTTGCGCCTTCCTGTTGGAAAGGAATGAAATTATTATATTTGAACACACTGAGAAAGTGTGAAACTAATTCAATTTAATAAAAACTTGGACCCGATGGGTACCCGAGTGGGTCGGGTTACCCGATGAGTTCGGGCATGGGTCTGAACTTTGACCCATGGGCAGGGTCGTGGGCAGGTGACGGACCCGATAAGGGATTCGGGCATGGGTCGGGAGTGGTCGACCCGACCAAACCCGACCCGACTGCCAGGTTGAGTTGCCATGTCTGCAATATCCGAGATAAAAGGACACCAGGACGTCCAGGATACATCAATCCATCCCCTCCATTCTGCGCGTCGATCTCCAAAGGATGAGCCCCGGCGGCGACCTGTTCGGTCGGCTGCCGGACGAGCTCCTGAGCCACGTGCTCTCCTTCCTGCCCTCCCGCAAGGCCGTGCAGGCGTCCTGCCTCTCCCGCCACTGGCGCCACCTCTGGAGATCCGCCCCCGCCGTCCGCATCCGCGGCAAGGGCGACGCCTTCGACCTCTTCGTCAGCAACCTCCTCATTGGCCGCGAGACCGCATCTGCGCCGCCGCTGCGCTCCTTCGAGATCGACGCCGACCTGAAGACCCGCCTCCACTGCATTTTCTGCGAGAAAGAGTACTGCCAGTGCGAGCTCGTCTTCGGCTCTTACGAATAATCACTTCTGTATAATTTTTTACTCATGACTTATCTTAAAATAAATATTTAATTATTAGCCATGATTGAATATTCATATTAACATTTTAAATTTTAAATTATGAATAGTTTTAATTATACTGCAAAGGTGCACTTAATTATCTAATTTTTTTGTAATGAAAAAAGTATTTTTGAATTGTTATTTTGAAAATTAAATATGTAATACGCATATTTATATAACACAAATGTTTATTTGATACTTAAGTTTATAAAATATTTTATTTAATATTTTTATATAATACACAAGTTTATATTTAACATTTTTTACTTACTAATCATCGTTTGTTTGTATAATATTTTTAACACACGAATATTTTAACATAAGTTTATTACTTAAATTTTACAAATATGTTAAAAATTAGCGTGTATATAATGGGCCGTATTCCCTTAGCCCATTTAAGCTTCACGTGCTTCCCGTTTTGTCCATATAGGTTTGTTTTCCATATTAGACATCCAGACGTGAAGGTTGGTATTGGCTAGCCCGTGTCGTGTTATGGTGAGGTAATACACATGGATACATCGACATATGTATATTGTGACCGTATTTGTATGTTAGAGTCAAGTTAGGCGACCGCAAAATCGTATTTTTAAAGCTCTAGCACTAAATTGAATATGCGACGCAAGTTATGTAACTCCTAGTGATATTACCTATATATATTTTTTTAGTTTCTCATGTTTTAGGAGTCATGCTATCAAAAGGCATTGTGTAAAAACACAGGAGAATCTAATACGGTCAGACCTGTAAATTAATATGCACTTTTGAAATCTGGATTCATATATATGTATCTTCATGCTTATGTACTACTATGTACTTTCATAAATACCTGGGCTTATTTGTCATCTTACATTAATCTAAATACGGCGACCGGACCAATACTCTGGGGAGCGTAGCCGACCGCTGGACATGGACATGGCGGAGCTGGACGAGCTCCACTTAAAGATCACTACGTTGCATGTAATAATATGGATTTGAGATTTTTAATTTAAGATATCTGGATGTGAAATGCATTAGTTGAGGCGTGGCCGGTCAGTGTCCGCGGACGAGTCTGGGCGCTTTCCGGGCGTTTGAGGGGTTGGATTTGCTAAGTTCGGCTGTAGATGTTGTAAGTGTAGTCGCACGGAGTGTGAAAAGAAAAAACTCAAATAGAAAATCTAAAACATAGATCAATCACAAGGAAAAGAATAACACAAAATCTCCATGTAAAATTAAATGGCATTTTAATTAGATATAAAACTTTGTCGATTCTCATCTAGGAAATCTGACACAGTACAATAATCTGGACATCTGAATTCCGGTATCTTCATCCTTTTGTACTACTGTACGTACTTCCATGAATAGCAGTGCTTATTGGCCTTCTTATTATACATTAATAATTTACATGGTTTATCTATGTGCCTAGATATTAATCCTGATACATCAAACGGTTGCTTATACAAATCTCAAAATTAATTAATTAATCAAGGAGAAAAAAAATCTACATACAAAAGGGGAAAAAAACCATTCCATCAGACGGAGTCCGGCGTCGTGCTGAAAACCGGCCTGTCCTTGTCAACAACGGGCGCGGCCACGGCCACGGCAGCGACATTGCCGGCGGTGGCGGAGCTCCCGCTCTTGCGCCGCGGCTTGGCCTCTCCGAGCATGGTGAGCACGTCGCGCATGGAGGGCCTGTCCCTGGGCAGCTTGGCGGTGCAGAGCACGGCGATGCGGAGCACGAGCAGCATCTCCTCCCGGACGTGCGCGCAGCCGCCGCCGACGAGCGGGTCGAGGTGCTCCTCCACGGTGTTGCTCCGGATCTTCTCCCTGACCCAGCCGACGACGTCCTGCCCCTCCCCGAACGCCGCCGTCTCCACGGGCCTCCGCCCGGTGATGAGCTCCATGAGCACCACCCCGTAGCTGTAGATGTCGCTCTTCTGGTCCACCTTGAGCGTGTACCCGTACTCGGGCGCGATGTAGCCGTAGGAGCCGGCGACGACGGAGACGGACTCGCCGGAGCGGCCGAGCGCGCGGGCGAGGCCGAAGTCGGCGACGCGGGCCTGCATGTCGGCGTCGAGCAGGATGTTGTTGGACTTGATGTCGCGGTGGAGCACCGGCGGGTGGCAGTCGTGGTGGAGGTACGCGAGCCCCTGCGCCACGCCGGCGGCCACGTCGTACCGGGACACCCAGTCCGTCAGCATCGTCCTCGACTCCGGCGCCCCGCCGTGCAGCGCCTCCCACAGGCTGCCGTTGGGCATGAACTCGTACAGCATCATGGCGTCCGCGTCGTTGTGCATGTACCCGAGCAGCCGCACGATGTTCCGGTGCCGGAGCCGGCCGAGGAGGCCCACTTCCTTGAGCACGTCGTCGGTGAGGTTGCGGGCCGCGTCGCCGTCCGTCGCCGCCGGGCGCCAGAGCTTCTTGACAGCGATCACGGTGCGGGCCCGCGGGAGCTCGGCCTTGTACACGACGCCGGTGGCGCCCATGCCCACCACGTTCGCCTCCTTAACGCACGCGAGAACGTCGGCGCACGTGAACCCCAGCCGCTGGAACGCCGTCAGCCGCCACGGCCACGCCCCGGACTCGTACTCCCGGGCGCCGCCGACGGCGTACCACCGGCGGTACGCGTGCCAGCCGCCGAACAGGGCCGTGAATGCGGCGATCACGACGACCATCCCCACGAGCCACCCCACCGCGACGTGCTTGAGGCGCGCTCCGCTGCCCCCGCGCGCGCGGGACAGACCGGCGACGTGGCTCCCGGAGCACGGCGGGAGCACGCCACCGCACAGCCCGGCGTTGCCGGCCAGCTCGTCGGGGTTGATCGTGCGCAGGACTCCGTTCCCCGGCACTGGCCCGGTGAGGTTGTTGTACGCCAGGTTGAGCGTCTCGAGCGCCGGCGAGCCCCCGAAGTTGTCCGGTATGCCCCCGGTCAAGAAGTTGCTCGACAGATCAAGAATAGCGAGCGCCGGCATCTTGGCCAGCGCCGGCGGTATCTCGCCGGTGAGCCCGTTCTGCCGGAGGTTCAGGTTGACCAGCCTTGCGCACGAGGCGAGGCTCGACGGGATCTTGCCGAGGAGGCGGTTTCCCGACAAGTCCAGCGCTCCCAGCGCGAGGCAGTCCTGGAACTGGTCGGGGAGCTCGCCGGTGATCATGTTGCCCGCCGCCATGAAGCTCTGCAAGCCCGGGATGGCGAAGAGGCTCGAAGGCAGCGATCCCTGGAGGCGGTTGCGCGAGACGTCGATGAACGACAGCGACGCCGACGACGCCAGGGCGCCGGGGAACTCGCCGGAGAGCTCGTTGCCGGCGAGCTCGAGCCGCTGAAGCAGCGGCAGCTTCCCGAACCCGGCTGGAATCGTGCCGTTGAGACGGTTGCCCTGCGCGCGCAGGCGCACCAGCGACGCACACGACGCGACCCCGGCGGGGATCTCGCCGGAGAAGCCGTTGCTGAACATGATCAGCTTGGCCAGCGCCTTGCCGTCGCAGATCCCGGCGGGTATCTCACCGGTCAAGGCGTTCGACGAGACGTCCACCCACTGCAGCGGCGAGCTCCGGCCGAGCGACGCCGGGAGGGCACCCGTCAATGAGTTATTCCACAGCTCGAGCACCTCGAGCTTCTTCATGTCGCCGATGGCCGCGGGCACAGCGCCGTCGAGGTGGTTGCACATGAGGTTGAGCAGCTGGAGGTTGCTCAGCTGCGCCACCTCGGCGGGGATCGGGCCGGTGAGCAGGTTGTCGGAGAGGTCGAGGAAGACGAGCGAGGAGGCGTTGCCGAGCTCCGGCGGTATCCTGCCCTCGAGACTGTTCTTGTAAAGGAAAAGCGAGGTGAGCGCCGGAAGCCTCCCGATCTCCGGCGGGATGGGGCCGTCGAGGTTGCCGATGGCGAGGTCGAGGTCCTGGAGGTTGGCCAGGTTGCCGAGCTCCGGCGGGATGGGCCCCTCCAGCTCATTGTACCCGATGATGAGGCTCTCGAGCGACTCGAGCTCGCCGAGCTCCGGCGGGATCCTGCCGCCGATGTTGTTGCCGGAGAGGCCGAGGAACCTGAGCCTGGTGAGGCTCCGGTACGCCGCGGGGATGCCGCCGCTGAAGAAGTCCCCGCGCATGTCAATGCTCTCCAGCGACGTGGCGTTCGCGAGGTCCGCCGGGAGGGCGCCGACGAAGTTGTTGCCGGAGCCGTTGACGGCGACGAGGCCCGCGCACGACCCCAGGCCGGCGGGGAAGGCGCCCTCGAAGGAGTTCTGGCTGACGTCGAACACCTGCAGGCCCGACAGCGGCGCGAGCGACCTGGGCAGCGCGGCGGCGAAGGCGTTGGAGGAGAGGTTGAGCACCGCCAGCGCCGGCAGCCGGAGCAGGTCCGCGGATACCTTGCCGCTCAGGTTCCTCCCGGCGAGGTCGAGCCCGTCGACGAGGCCGGCGGCGTTGCACCGGACGCCGGCCCACTTGCAATGCGGCGAGCCGGCAGCCTTCCAGTCCGCCAGCACACCCAGCGGGTCCACGAAGCCCGCCTTGAGCGCCAGCAGCGCGCCCCGCTCGCCGCCGCCACCACCACCGGCCGCGCCGACATTGCCGCCGCCGGACAAGACGACAGCCAGTGCCGCCACCACCAGCACCGCCACTCTCGCCGCCATTGCCAGCGCAGAATCCACCACAGGAAAAATATATCACTCCCGCTAGCTCAGCTCAGCTCAGCCCAGCTCTCTGCTGCTGCTTCTAGTGCTCTGCCATTGTCAGTGCAGTGTCTCCTCTGCTCCACCTGCTCGCATCCGCGGGAGGAAGAAGATCGAAGACGAGGAGGAGGAGCAGAGTCTGGAGCCAGCCAAGATATCACCGGAAACTTTATACGACGGTGAGGTGAGGAGAATATCGCATGGTTTGTTGTTCTACAAGGAGGAGGAGGAGGATCACAGCATATTATATACACGCCACTAAACTAAACCTGCTTGGCATTTTCCAACATGGGCAATTTGCAGAACACCCAGTGAGCAGATGTGAGGTGTCCGGAGGAGGAAGAGGATGGGACATGAGAACATGGAACATGGAGGGAATGTGCTGCTCAAAGCCATGGGCTTTCTCTCCAGGCACTGCTTTTGGCCATTCTAATCTGATCTACCTCTGCTTGATTGATTGATTAACTATGGTTTTTTCACTTTGTGGCAGCCCATTAGATTACTTGGTAAAGTACATCTTTCATCTTACATTCCCTACATGTGTGTGCAGGCATTTGCAGGCTTTCAGGCCCTGCCTAATTAATTAACTACATTGCTAATCAGAGACCCTGCTGTTTACTGGGAGGTGGCAGTGCTACTACTGTGCTAGTGTGCTACTACTGGTTTATTCTTTGGAACCTTCTGCTTAGGAAGCTATCTCCAGTAAAGATTGAAAACTAGTACTAGTACATTTCTGTGTGGGTGCAAAAGCCCAACAGCATTAGAACTGAGCTGATTGATCTATACATGTTGTAGGAGGAGCTAGATCATTTTCTCCATGGGGAGCGAATTTTGTGTAGGTACTTAGACAAGTTAATTAGGGGTCTCAGCTGAGAAGATCTACTCTAGCATTGAGCAGAAGGATTATTATCAGCACTACTAACCTTATGCTGTGTAGGTACTTGGACAAGTTAATTAGGATCTTATCTTACCTGAGAAGATCTGCTCTAGCACTGAGCAGAAGTAGTGCCAGTAGTACCTGTACTAGTAATCTTATACTATGACTTTTTGACAGTGAGTAAAAAACAGGCCACCTCCTTTGCAGGGGAAAAGGATTAATTAACCTAATCACTCCCAAGGAGAGACAAGAGAGTATGTTCTTTTCTGCTGTCCTACACATGTCCTGCACAGGGATTAAACAAAAAGTACAGTTACCCTCTGCACAGCAGCAGGTGCATGTGTTGGGCTGCCTAGAGTTGACATTGTTAGAATACAACCTCTGCTAATCATTCCTTTGACAGTGGAAGTACAGGCAGTACCTCCTGCTGCTGTTACTGCTGCATGCTGACACAGCAGGAGGGGATCCCTGGCACATGCCCCCAGTAGAATGTTCAGCACTGCTGCATTAGATTAATCAGGGGCATCAGAGGTGCTGTTAGCACTGGTTGTGTAATTAAATGTGGTTAGCGTTTGGCAAGCAGCGTTGGGTTAAGGCTGTCAGAATATTTATTCAGAGAAAAAGAACTGCAGGTGATTAGTGCGTACTGATTAAGTAGCAAATCTGGGCTGCAGGATTCTGCATTATGCAGCCCTCCTTGTCTGGTCAGGTAGCAGCAACAGTGGCATTAGTATCTAAGGTTCTATGTTGATTAAGATAGATACGATGAACTAATGGTGCAGAGACCATACTGAAACTAAGTTTCAGGGGGCATATACTGAAAATGAACATTTTTCAGAATGAACAGTGGGAAGACCACAAGAAAGTGAATGACTAATTCCTAAACTTTTTTTGTCAAGTCAGTTTGCATGTTTTTTGTTTCCTAGATCAGTGGTTTTGGACTCAGATGAACAATTTTCTTGCGCCATTAGCCAATCTGAAGTTAAAAGACATAAACCTAAGGAAATCGGTTCAACTAGAGCTGAATTTTTCTATTGACAACTAGTTAGTGTTGGACCAACTATCTTGATAAGCACAAGGAATTAACCTAGAAAATGTAACCAAATATGGACTAAAAACTGTTTATCAAATGTAAAAGAATGACGAACAAATGATACATACAAGTTCTTGCGACTTGTGCACTTGTGCTGATGCAAAGTGCAAGCACAATGATAAATACTAGCTAGTTCTTGGACGATTGCATTGGAATGAACTCTCCATTACCTGCCTTCACATAAGTATTGACCCTGCAGTTTGCACCATGGAAAATCCCAACCAAGCATCTGATTTCGCACCTTTCATGCAGAGAAGAATGCAAAGAAATGGAATATAACTGAAAGTTGCACCGCAGGACCGATCAAATGATGTTCAATCAGACAGATGTATGCGTGCTTGTGGTTCAGTTTGATGTATCTGGCACAAATTCAGAACTTGAAATCTCCGAATGTGCCAACACACACCAAATTGGACAACAAACACGTCTCGATACGATCGAAACAAATTGATGAATGAATGAACCTCTGCATTTGGAAGCTTTGCAGGAACTCAAAGAGACGTTGGCGTGCGGTGCTACTTAAGCACCTGTTGGCACCAACCAACCAACCAACCGAACTTAATCATTCGGCCATGACAGAGTTCGGTGTAGGAGAAGAAATGAAATTTTAAACAAGCTCAAAGCTAACATATGCTAGCCTGTGACATTCTCTAGCTTTTCTCAGCCTCCAGATATGCAAATGCAATCATCTCGTACCAGCTACAGCTAGCTCTGGAATCAAATTGTTAATTACCGTTACTTTACACGTTCGTAGTCACAAACAAGCATGTAGAATGGTCTCGATTTGTTTACATGATGAGAGTAGCAGATGGTTAAGCTGCACAAATTATTCAGGCAAGCTTAGCTTCCACCTTCCAGCTAGCTGTACCACAAGTGCTAATGCAACAACAACTGCAGTCATAAAGTTTCTATAGCGCCCTGTTATGGAAAGCTACACTACAAACCAAATGAAAAAGAATCAGCAGCATACACTTGAACTTGGTTTGATTTGCTTAATTACCCGACAGCATGCCGATAAACAAACTCTAACACCGAGACGTCACCTCCTTAATTTAACCCAACTAGAGGAGACCTCTGCATTAGCACTAGAAATTAAGCTACCATGCCAGCATGACCTATGTCCCTGGATCTAAAGAAAAGGGTGTGTAAACAGATACAAGTAGAAGATGAACTAATTTCTATCTCATCTTGTTTACATCTCTCTCTCTCCCAATCATGGCCAGATCGAAAGCATCAAACTTTAGCAGCAATCAGTAAACAAACGGCGATGAATTATTGACGCGTTACGTTGGCTCTAGAGGTGCGAATGGGTCGCTTAATCTTCCAAGAATCTTTGCCATGTTAGGTTTGTTGCTCCTCCATGTAGCAGGAGGAGAGGATGTATGCAGCATAACATCTCATCTTTGGTGTCTGTCTACTTTATTAGGTTGAAATTGGGTGCATTTGATGGTGACTAAACAAAACATATATAGGTATCATATAGGAGTGTTGGTTGAAAATGCAGTTTATAGTGCAGATTTCAGCTGAAATGTAAAGTTCGCATGTCAGGTAATGAAAGATTGCTTCTTCCCAGAATTAAAATACTGACAAATTAAATTTATAAAGGCAAACGAAAATAAGTAAATAAACAGTAGTAGGATTATTTTAAAATTTCTTTAGATAGCGGGATAACATTGTCTTGTTTCTTATATTTCTTTACAGAGGGAGTACTACATAATTGCCCAGATTAGCATTTGTTACCCAAAATCTTGAAATTTTTATTAATAGTTCTCAAAGCATCTTCGAGAATCATTTTTGGGATAAATGCATCAAACCGGTTAGTTAGAGACTTTCTTACGAATGATTAACCTATATTTGCGGCGTACTATTCCGTAAGTTGTACCGTAACAGAGGAGGAAGAATCATTTAACATGCAGAGAAACTAATCATGGAGAAACATGCAGATTAATCATGGCCCAGGGAACATGTTTAGTAGGCTTAACAGCCTAGCGAGCTACCTGGCTAATTGGCTATAGGTAGCCACATGCACTCACATGCAGGTGAAACCCTCCATGGCTGGCCATGTGAAACCCTCTCACTAAGCAGCTTCCAAAGTACCATATCTATATTGTTAATCACATTATTTTATGTATCCCGTCACCCACCACTCCGGCACACCTGCTGACACACGGTAAAGATGGCGCCCGCTTCCACGTGGGGCCCACCGCGGCGTCGGGCCCGGGGGTCAGTGACGGTTCCGCGCGCGCCGCGAGGTCGGCGTATGCCCCTCTCGCCATTATTGGGTGAGATGAAGGATTAATCATGGAAGCAAAACGATCCTTTGCTAATATACATTCTCCCCACCCCTCTCTCGCCGGCCGGTGAATCCAATCTGATCTGGAAATGTAATCTTGATTATCCTGTCGACTTTTCTGGCGGTGCGTTTGGTGAGAGGCATGTGGGTGAGGGAGAGCCGTTTAGCTAGCTAGCTAGCTAGGGTTCGTGCCTTTGGGGAGGTGAGATCGAGTTGGATGGAACCCAATCAATCATGGGTGAATGAGTGGGGTTTTTGGGGTGGCGGTTAACGTAACATGCCAACACGCAATTGGGTGTGGAACGTACGGTGGATCGGACAGGCGTGTGGTGGTGTGAACTGTCCAAGTGGCCAAGCCAAACAGCCGTTTGTAATGAATTTCAACTTCGAATCTTGGCTTGAATCTCTGCCAAAATGCGTCTTTTTTGTCCACCCATGCTAGGGTTTTGGTCTATATTAGCGTGTTCGTAAACTGAACATGAAAAGAGCCTGGTTTTTTTTCTTATACAAACTAAAGTTGTCATATTCGGCCAACTAATTTTCTGAACTAAAGCGTGCGAAAAGATTAATATACCTACTTGGTTAAAAAGAAGTTCAAATATATGAATCATGTCTATGGCACCCTGTCGACATTGTTTAATAGATCGACATTGTTTCTATGGTACGGGGATTTTTATATGTTTTTTCTTTGTGAAAAT